TACTAGTATCATTTATAATTAATGATGTAAGATATTGGTATCATTTAAAAATAATTGATATTACATTTTTATCATTCTTTTAATAAATTATTCGAATATATATATATATATATATATATATATATATATATAAATTACGAAATTATTCATAATTGATGTTAAAAATAGGGTCAAAATATTTTATAATACTCTACTAAATTTTTTAATAGAAATAAACAAGTAACTAAATAATAAAGTTATAATTTACAATGCAAATTACTGCACTTGAAACTAAAACATAATTGTTCCATGATAAAAATTCATAAAACACAAATAAAATAAAAGTTACTAAGAACATGCACGTTAAACTGATCACGATTACTAATTCGGTTTTCAATTTTGCATATTAATTGACACCATCATTCATTTCCATGACATAAAATTTTATAACAAATTAGTTTATCATCTAAATTTTTTTTGATGGTAAAACTAATAAATAATCATCAAATACCTGATTAGGACTAGATAGATTTGGTATGCTGGCAAAATGTGGATTTGAGATATTGACAAATGCAACTGCAAAACTTGCAGCCCATGCTCTTGTCTAAACAGTTGATTTAATATATTAGTTGTATATATTAAAATATATTAAAAGAATTTAACTAATACACTATTATTACTTGTTCACCAGTTGATGTGCCAATAATCTGTTGGATGAATGTAGACATTCCCTTCACTTGATCTGATAAATCTTGCACTTGTGTTTTCAAATCATCAACTATTCCATAATTTTATATCTCTTGTCTATTTGCAGTTGAGCGTCCACCAACTTTGAAGGTGTAGGTCCACGACCAACACAACATAATCGTGTGGACGTTCTGGACTAAAAACTTGAGCATACTCATCATCGAAACTAGCTGTAACATTGTTTGTGATGCGTGGATTTTGGTTCAACAACGTTGTAAGGGCTTCCAATAAAACAAGCAAAAGATAAATTCCTAGCAGATTATATTAGTAAATCTATAGTGTATCAAAGAAAACTAACCGCACGTGTTTTTGCTTCTTCACATACAAAGTTTCCATTAATCGCGTGTGTTTTTTTCTAACATTCAAATTATCTTTAGATTTTTTTCATCCAATAATGTGTAACCAGATTGTCAAAGACATTCTTCTCTATGTGCATACATCCAAATTATGTCGCAACATTGAAGATTCCCAATAAGGCAACTCAAAAAAGACACTTTTTTTTTCTTCCACTGTTGAGTACTACTTTATTAAAAATCACTTCGATCTCTCTTTCTTCCAACTCCAACTAGACCATTTTTCTTACCAAGAGTAACATTAACTTGTTCTAGTTGGTGAAAAATTGTGGAGCCTGTGAATGTGACTGGTGGAGGTCTAGTTTCTATTTTCCCATCAAATTGTGTTCTATTTTGACGAAAGCCATGTTCTGTAGGAAGAAAACGACGATGGGCAATGAAACATTTTTTTTCGATGACGTAACCGTTGTCCGATACCATCATAATTACAACTTGGACAAGATGATGTTGTATATGTATTCCAACCTGAAAATTTTCCAAAACCAAGAAAATTAAGAAATTTCCACATGAGAGTTCCTCGCATACCAAATGTTTGTTTTGTGGAAGCATCTAGCGTTTCAATCTCATCAAACCACAACTCTTTCAACTCTTTGATAAGGGGCTGCAGGTAGACATCAATATCATTACTAGACATGTGTTTTCCAAGAATAACCATAGAAAGGATCATTGATGTTTGCTTCATCGACATCCATTGTGCAAAATTGTAAGGAAATAGCATCATCGGCCAGATGCTATAACTACTGCTCATTGTACCAAAAGGGTTAATCCATCAGTCGCCAATCCTAAAATGACATTTCTTGAATTAGACACAAATTAAGGATATTGTTGATCAAATGTCTTCCATGCCAATCCATCTCTTGGATATCAAAGCTTGCCATCATTGTTACTAGCAGTTGCATGCCATCTCACGTGGGTTGCAGTTTTTGATGACATAAATAAACGCTGCAGCCGTGGCTTTAGAGGAAAATGATGCAAGACTTTTGCAGGAGATTTAGTTTTTTCTTTCTCTCATCAAGAAACCGTTTTCTTTGCAGAAATATTAGCTTTCTAACGAGAGATTTCACAAACTTTGCAAATCTCTCTTTCTGCATCTGCCTCCCAATATAACATGCAATCATTTGGACATGCCTGAATTGATTTATAAGTCATTCCTAATTTGCGAATAACCTTCTTCATATCATTAAATGAATCTGGCAACTTGGCATGCGTAAAGGCTTCTTTCATCAAATCGAGCACCATAGATATCCCCATGTCACTGACCCCACACATACATTTAATATGGTACAACTTCAGTATAAATGACAACTTCGTGAAATTATTGCTTCTAGGATATAACTCTTGATTATAATCAGTAAATAACTCCTCAAAATCTTCTCATTTTCCACAAGTTTCTCCAGCAGTTGATGGTGTATCGGTGTTCATTGATTGCTCAGATGATTCATTTTCATATTCACCTTGAATATTCATATTAATATAAGGGAAAAGATCATCGAAGTGACTCGAAGTTGGATCCAATTGAACTCGAGACTGATCAATTCCTAACACTTCAAAAAATGCTTTCCTTGGACATGCAATTAGTTGTCCTCACTACGGGTACCATATCATGTTTCACAATGTAAACGTGCTGACATGCAATTAGTTGGAACAAAAAGAGGTTCACCTTGAATATTCATATAAATATCTGTAATACGAATTTCCTCTCCATGTAATATCCAATTTGTGTACGAACTTAAAAATCCATAGCATATCAAATCACCTTTAATATCTTCTCTTAACTCAAGTCTGGTTAAAGAACAACGGTTACGTAGACATTTCATCATTTGTGCATTTGATCTACCAAATGAAAAATCCAAAAACTTTTTTTTACTCCTAGTCCGTAATCTTGAGATAAACGTGGCTTTTCTATTCATGATTTATCCATTGGAATCTGAACAAAAAATTCATACAGTTTAAACTTAAAATTTATAAACCAAGATTTAAAAATACTATAAATCTGTTAAACTATCATTCATTCAGTTTTTAAAATCCTCAGAGACTATGAAAATGTCTTGGTCAGTTTAATCAATGTAAATTCCTCATTAGCATCAATTATTAGCAATAACTGATAAATAAAGTTTGACAATACTTTAATCCCTCGCTAAAAACTCAGAAAAAGCATATGTGTTTACTTTATAATTAACACACAAATTTAATTTTGATTCTTAGGGATTGCAAATTATTTTTTTCCCAAAACATTCTAAAACCCTTTTGCTATAAATGCAAAAAATAAACAATGTCAGTTTACCTTGTAATTAAGCACACCTTTGATCTTTCCTTAACTTGACAATTTTTTGTCAAAAAATTGTAAAACAAGTGAGGATGATAATCGTAATGCGCCCTAGAAAAGAAGAAGCCAAACAAAAAAAAGTAAACAATTAGTGAATTATTCTCTTTCCTTGTAAAATATAGAAACCATATATCAATTTACCTTAACTAGTTATACGCAATTTTGATCTGAGATTGATAACATGCATTTTTCAATTGAGATGGAAATATATGATCTTCTAACTCTTGCGTCAACAGAGGAAAAAGGTCAAACAACATAAAGGAAAAAAGGTCAAAAAAGAATTAGCTGAAAAAAAGCTAACAAAAAAGATTCTTTACTTAACATAAGATATCTAAACTAATTTTAAAATATAACTTTATAGGATGAATATTTATTTACCTGAAAATTTAGATAATAGTATATTTTGAGATATATATTAATGATTGCTGCATATAATACAAACATGTATATATTCAACTGTTCTATTCATAATTTTGTTATGTTATATTTTTTTGTCAAAATATATATATAATAGTAATGAAAATTTATATATATATATATATATGTCAGCTATTTTATTATGTAAATTATATATTTAGTATCAAACATGATAATGATACAACAAAAGTAAAATAATATTTTTTATTAAATATATGTAAAAATTACGTAATTTTGATAATATTAAGATAATTATGTTAGCATCAATGAAAATTGATGTAAATTTTTGTATTATTTTAATACATTATGTTAATTAAAAATAAATTAATCAATTCTTTGTCTGATATAATCATTATGATAATATCATTTTTATAAGTGATACAAAATAACATAAATTCTATAATTTTTAGTGAATTGACGCAAAAGAAATTAATAATAACTAGCTTTTGACCCGTGTGCCCACGCGGATGTTTGTTTTTCATAATCATATATTTTTAACTTTTGAAAAGGTGATATATTTAAGTGTTTATATTTTTATATTATATATTCATGTGTTATTAATGATTGACATTGATGTGTCTTGTTCAATGTGATTAGTCTTCACTTATAAACTGTAAGATTGTATTTTTTTTTTATTATACTTATATTTAGCTTATTTGGAAAAGTAAACACTTAAATGAGAGAGTTTTTCTATATACAGTTAATTTTTTTTTTTTTTTGAGAATTCTAAAAGCAAATAGATTATTTAGTGAAATGAAAATCTATTATATAAAGTAAAACATCACTCCTTCTAAGGCATGCCACATAGGATACCATGTCACAAAGTCCATGTCAGCATTTTCGTTTTCGGCCTCAATTGTTTAGGTTTTACCTTATTATTCTGTCTCTTTTTGGTATTGTTATGGCCCAATTGTTTGGTTTCTCTATCGATAGAGACACGGGATGACGCTTGGTGGCAAAGTCCATCTCTTTTAATCGACAACGGAGGTCACGGATGAAGTGGTGGTGATGGTGGTAACGGAGGTCAGAACGACGGAGATGGTCGGGAGGATAGGAACATGAGCAAGGCGATGATGTTATTGGCTGAGTCTGGGAAAGAGTTGGAGAGTCTTCCAGACTGCGATTGATTCGAGTCGGATTCCTGGATCGGTTATCACTGGTTCTTTGAGCTTCAGAGAATGGCTGTGATGAGGTGGCTGATGCAGTTCGCTGGGTTTACGGAAATGCTTTTGGGTGATCTCTTCTTGGATAAAATCGCCATGGAATGTGGTGTTAATGTCTTCACTAAGTTTATGATCTTGATTCCAGAAAAGTGAGAGTCTTTCTCCGAGTGAAGATCCTCTGGTGGTGGCAGCAGCAGAGGATCCTCCGCGGTGCAGATTCAAATATGTGCCGGTTAGTTTCTGATTTATTCTTTTTTTTTGTATTTAGCATTAAAATATTTGAGCTTTGCGGTTTCTGATAGGAGCTAGATTTGAGATTAGGGCTTAATATTCGTATTACCGTTGAAAAGGCTCTGTTTTTGAGCTCCCATGAAGGACTTAAGTGTACTAGCTTACGTCTCTGTTTAGCCTTTTATTTGGATAAAACTTAGGATTAGGGTCTTCAATACGAGCGACTTGGGAGCGGTTCAGCATAGCATGTTTTAAAGTTCTGATTTTTTTAGCTAGAAAGGTGATGATCTAGGCGTAAGTCATTGGAGTTTTGTTTACTCTATGGTTGAAAGGTGTCTGCCTTTTTTTCTTATCCACTTCATTAGAAAGTTCGGAAATTTTTGGCAATTTCTTAACATTTCCAGAGAAGTTCATCGAGAAAGTCTTTGAATGGTTCAGGCCACTGTAATCAGCTAGAATTCTTGTCTTATTTTAGTTAATATGTATTGTTTTTTATTTATTTACAGACTTCTGCTGAGTATGAAAGGTGGAGAGAAAACTTCTTCCATGAACTTGAAGTTGTCTTTGTCGATATGATAATCATTCGTCTCTGTCTTTGTGTTCATGTCAGACTATTACCGACATTTTGTTGATAAGATTGGTGTTAATGGACTCCCTTTGAATCCTAGCGCCGTATTCAGGTGATACGTCATGTTATTTTCAGTTGTTTCCATGTTTTGATTGGTTGTGTAGTGAATTTTCTTTTCCGATGATGTGTTATTTGGTTAGGAGATTTGACGAGGACAGTGACAGGATTCAAATCAACACCAATCTTTGTAGTCGTAAGGTGTCAGACATTTTTCAGATTGTGTTGCCATTTAGTTGAGCTTGGCTCTGTTTCGTGTTGTTATTTTCTGCATTTCGTTGGATTACATTACCTTAATCTCACTTTGATTTGACACTGGTGGTTGTTTTTTTAAAGCTGTGTTGGTATTTCTCAGATACTTAGGAGCAGTTTGGGATCAATGGAAGGGTTGAGGTCATTGATGCCTCGAGTTCTGACCAGACCAAGCTTCAGGGCGGATATACATAACTTAGTTTAGCAACTCAGATAAGGAATAAAGACTTCTTTTTTTTCCTGATTGTTTTGATTTTGGTTTCTTAGTGTAGCTAAGAGAGAAGTCTTGATTTGCTAATTCTCCTATGGCAAGGCTGATGTACATCTGTCATGCGCCTGGTATCTCTCTCTCTTTGGCTTTCAGTTTTGTTGTTGCATTGAAGGATTTGAAACTCAGTGTGATTAATGTAGTTCCCTCAAACTTACGACCTTCATGCTGAGTCATCTATTCTCAGCACTGACTGACTGAAGAATAGGTATGTGTCTATATACAGTACTCGCACATAATGCATATTTATTGCCTTTTTGATATTGATGAATGAAAAATCTTATGCGTAAACAAACCCCTTTAGATGCAGCTTGGTGCCTTGGTGTCCATAATGGCTGACGTGGACATAATTCTTAGAAGACAAGAAACATTTATAGTAAGAGATGACATCGAAACAATAGGAGAAATTAAGAATATGCATCACTTGAGACGCCACCATGACTAACAGAGATCACACCATGAAAGTTTTACAAAATACTATAACAAAAATCTCAACCATAATTTAATACAAAAATGAAAATAAAATATTTATATTTACATAGTCCAACAAAAGACATAATAAAATAACCTGATAAAAATAAATAACAAAAATAAATTAAATAACTTATACTAAGATAAACAGAATAAAATATCTATACCAATAAAAAAATAGACACAATTTCATTACTAATCACAACAGCCGTATAAGAAAATTTAGTTACTAAATGAAACGATTTTGTGTTTTACAACAAACAAATTCAACAAAAAAATAATAATAAAATTTTTAAAAAGACAATGATTAATCATGGGATGAGATATTCGTTGTCTTGGCAGCCGTTCTCTTCATATACATTTGCTTTTAATGAGATAGATAAACTTAGACATTCTCTACACACAATTACTCATTTCCCTCTTTTCCTCACATTTCATACTACACTTTGACTCTCTCACCTACAACAGCATATCATATGATTTTCTCTTCATAACAATACAAGAAACTTCAATCTGAAAACTACAACAATACATGTTAGAGATAAAAAATTCAAGGTGCAGACTAAACATTGGTTTAACGTTTTAGGATCGTGAGCAAAATTAGATGCAAAACTTGAAAGATACTCTGTAATTGCAAGTCTGGAAATGGGCATACGACTATCAGTACGTGCAGTCATTAATTTGTATTGCTATCCACTGGTCGTTTACTATGACGTTATATGTTAAAAATGAGTAGGCCATGCGAACATCTGAGTAGCAAGGAATATGCATAGAGTAATTGAAAGTTATGTGTCGATAAATATGTTATCTTTTCTCTTTGGTTGGTTTTGGTTTGTTTTGGTTGTGATATTTATAACAATGTTAGTTTTCGAATTTTTAATGATACTCTCGATTGTTTGATGTTCTTACAAGTATTTTGGTAAATCAGCGTAAACTTTAACTGAAAAATTATGTCATAAATAATATAGAACTTGTAAATCATATTTTTCTAACAAAAAATCAATATAAAAAACTAAGGACTATATAAAAATCAGCTTCATATCTTCGTTAGCTCTAACAAAATATAAAAAACATTTTAGTTAAATATTAAATATACAAACTTCTATTATCTTTAAAAATAAAATGAAATCAGTGTCAAAGAACTAAATATAAAACATTTTGAAAGGAAACTAAATTGAAATTTGGTATATTTTTATGAAAATTATATCTTGGAAATGTAAACTTACAAAAAATGAAATTTGTCAAAATAACATATAACCAACATAAAAAAACTTCAAAAGAAAATTTTTAATCTAAATAAATCAAGTTGAAATCTAGACTAACTATTTGAAAATATTACCTCTAATATATATAAGGCTATATTTTGCAGTTAGAGTTGAATGAATTTTAGTACACGCAAATAGTGGATATCAAATAACTCCTAATTAAAGTTGGAATTTGTTCAGTATTTTGAAGCGAATAAATAACTAAGAGATAAAATAAATTTATTGTAGTTACTCTAAGTAATTTAAAAATATTAAGTAACTTATCGGTATAGTTAAAATAAAAATAAACATAGAGAGAAAGTAAATAATTATACTTTTAAATTTTATTATAATTAGAAAGGTCTATGATTCTAAAATAAATAGTAAAAATACATAAATATTGTTCTAAAACAATTATAAACCTTAATGCTATTTTATTTAAAAGTAAATTAAATATTTAAAATAAATTTTTATAAAATAAGTATTCAAAACTATTATTAAAAAACAATATAATCTATAACAGTTTTTAATGTTTCATAGAAATAATAAAAATTCATAAAACATAGTTTTTATTAACATCCCGCCCGTAGGGCGGGCCGACCCTAGTAGTAATGAAACCAAGTTTCTAAAAACATTAAAACGAGAAGAGATTTAATTGAAGTTAATCGTTTATATTATTTGGTTATGACATTATAATTAAAATGTGCCACAATTTAATTACTATGTTTAAAGTTTATTTTCATCACAAGATGTATGTATTAGGCTTTAGTTTTATTTTAATTGACCAAGCCCATATATGGACTAAGGATAATTGCATGACTGTGTAATTTTTGAAGAAAACTAAGGAGTATTTTTGTACTCTAGTTTTAATAGTTTAGATATCATTTACTATAACTGATGCTAAATTATTAATATTAGTATTATTTATGAATAAATAATTTAAAATACAATCAATTATTTTTGTGATACATTTTAAGTGATTTAATATGCTTTTTTTTTTGTAGTGAAGCAATGTATTTTCTTTGTGTTTGATTTTCTGTTGTTTCTGAGGATGTATATGAGTTTCTAAGATATAATGCGTCTCCTCTCATAGTTGGGTTCCCATGACCATTACATTGCGCTAGGTGTGGATGTGATCCATGTTTTTCCAAGCTGTAAGTTGCAACAAGTGATTGTGATTAAACCATAGTGAAAATGACAATTTGATAAGGAAAAAGAAGGATGGATCTTTTTTTCGTAAAAAAATGAGGGATGAAATAGATGACAAAACATTTACTAATTTTGATCTTAATTAATCTAAAAACAAATCAGATTCTAAATTAATGAGCTGTTGTTGTAAGCTGGTTTTGTTTGTTGGGTAATTCCAAGCTTGTGGAAACTTAACATATTATTAGATGTTAAAATGTTAAGGATAAACACAATAAGGAAATCTAGAAATAGGAAAAGAAAGTTTTCTATTAGATTAGGTTTGTGTTTTCCATATCCCACATGTTCAAGGGAATTGTCTTGCATATAAATAGAGATCTATGGCGAAGTGTTCCATAAGATCTAAGAGAGTAGATCAAATATGATCTAAGAGAAACATACTGAGAGCTTTAGTTTTGAGTAGTTTCTAAAGCAATAAGAAAAGTTGTTCTTATTATCCTTTGTGTTTCTAGAGATTTGAATTGGTATCAGAGCTCCTTAGGTTGGAGACTCGATCTAAGCTTACGTTGAAGCTTTGATCCTGGTGCTTGTGACCAAGAGATCACGGGTGCATGATGGCGGACGCGACTAGGGCTCCACACACGAAGGACCTTGGAACTACATCCATCCAATGTCCCATGTTATCATCATCAAACTATACCGTTTGGTCGATGAGGATGAAGGTTTTACTTCGTGTTCATGAAGTATGGGACACGATTGAACCTGGTTTGGATGATCGAAAGAAGAATGATGTGGCGATTACTCTTTTGTTTCAACCCATCCCTGAAGCTTTAATTCTCCAAGTGGGAAATCAAACCGCAGCAAAAGACATCTGGAACGCTATCAAGTCACGACACCTTGGAGCTGATCGTGTAAAGGAAGCGAGACTACAGACGTTGATGGCGGAGTTTGATAGGTTGAAGATGGATGATAATGATAAGGTCGATGATTTCGCGGGGAAGATATCGGACATATCATCCAAAGCAGCCTCACTAGGTCAGAACATAGAGGAGTCCAAGATGGTTAAGAAGTTTCTGATGGGTCTTCCAAGTCAATACATCCATATTGTAGCGACGTTTGAGCAAGTCCTAGACCTCAACACTACGGCGTATGAGGACATCGTAGGAAGGATCAAGGCGTACGAGGATCGTGTAGGGGGAGAAACTCAGAAAGAAGACCAAGGGAAGCTCAGGTTTTCGAATAGTGACAAGAAATCTCATAAAATCTATGAGAATTTTCGTGGTAGAGGTAGATGGTGGAATGGTAGAGGCAGAGGTCGAGGTAGGTTACACAGCAAAAATCATGTGTTACACGCCGAAGAAAAAAACTCGAAGAAGGATCGTTCAAAGGTGATATGTTGGAGATGTGACAAGCCAAGTCACTATGCAACCTCTTGTTCCGAGAAGTCAGTGAAGAATCAAGAAACCAACCTAAACGAGACACAAGAGGTCGATGCACTTTATGTACACAAGGTGGCGTTCTTGAATGAAGACAAGGTGATTCCGAAGAATCTCGATATCAACAAAGGCGATGCAGGTGTTTGGTATTTGGATAATGGAGTGAGTAATCACATGATAGGAAACAAGGAGTTCTTTTCGAGTTTGAATCAAAACACCAAAGGGAAAGTGAAGTTTGGTGATGGATAGTGTGTTGATATCGAAGGAAAAGGTGTGATTAACTTTGTGTGCAAGACTGGAGAGAAGAAGGCACTCAAAGACATCTACTACATACCCGACCTGAAGCACAATATATTGAGTCTTGGTCAAGCAACAGAAAATGGATGTGAGGTTAACATGAAAGATGTCTACTTAAAGCTCACGGATTCGCGTGGAAAGTTGCTTGTACGTGTTACAAGATCTCCAAACCGTCTCTACAAGACCCCGATGGAGATAAGCTATCCGGAGTGTTTACATGTTAGAGATGAAGATGTTACGTGGAGGTGGCATGCTCGTCTAAGACATATAAGTTATGGAGTGATGAACAACATGGTAAGAAATAAGATGGTCGTAGGAATGACGTGTGTAACA